GGGGTAAGAAGCTCTATAGCGAGAAGGAAGCAGAGAACTGGAAAAGAAGATTTAAAAATTACTGCGTGTAACTCTAACCTGTTCCAATTTGCCCAGACTATGACTTGGAAATAGTGATTGGATTGCACATATAAATCCCAGCATGTGTTACCGATGTGGCATTCCCCTCTGAGGTACTCAAAAACACACTTAAAAAAATTAAATAAAAAGCTCTTTCTAGCCATTTTGTATTACCTCCTCTTGCAGGGTGGAATAATTTTATGCCTTTGTGTCAGAAGTATGGGGAATGAAGAGTAGAGTTTGGGAACCACATATGTTATCATTTTTCTTTTTATTCCTTTCCCTGTTTTTGCAAAAGACTTCTGCAGTTTTAGCCTGGCTTCGTCAGGAAATCAGTACTAAATGTTAGAAGAATGGCAGTGAACTAAGATACCAAAGGTATCGCATTATGAGATATTTTTAAGAAATGTATTAAATAATTCACATTGTCAGTGTTAATTACCAGTGAACAATTTCCTCAGCTTCTTTTGTTGTGAATATTTGTTACATGTTTAAATTCTTTTTCTCATTTAAAAACTGATAGGGTGTAAATGATAGTATATTGAGATAAACGTCATAATTAGAATTGTTTATATTTGTTTAAGTTTCCTTCATTTTCTTCAAATTGTAAAGTTACGTAACCACAAACAATCCGAAATCAGAGAAAACTAAAATAATTGTTCTATAATGTGAATTACTGTAACATTCCACAATAGCTCTTAGAGGTTTGGTATACTTTTTTGCCATCATTTTATTTTTCTGCACACTGATCTTTACCTAATTAAAAATATTAACATTAGGGCCGGCCCGGTGGCATAGCAGTTAAGTTCTCGCGCTCTGCTTTGGTGTCCTGGGGTTGGCGGGTTCGCATCCCAGGTGCAGATGATGCACTGCTCGTCAAGCCATGCTGTGCCGGCGTCCCATATAAAGTAGAGGAAGATGGGCATGGATGTTAGCCCAGGGCCAGTCTTCCTCAGCAAAAAGAGGAGGATTGGCATCGGATGTTAAGCTCAAGGCTAATCTTCCTCACCAAAAAAAAAAATTATCGTATTGACTTTCATTGCATCAGAGACTCCACAAATATATTTTGTTTACTGCAAAGTATTTATTAGTCATTAAATTCCTTTAAAATCTATGGCCAGTCTCATGCCTATTGTCTGCGTCCCGCTTTTTGTGCTATGACTCTGTTGTTAGAATAATATCAGCTAAACACTTCTAAAGTGCTGACTGAAATCCCAGGACAGTGCAGAGAGCTTTACATGTTTTGTCAAACTCATTCCTCAAAGCAGCTCTATGTGGCATAGTTTCCGTTATTATCTCATTTACGTCAATGACTACTTTACCCAAAGCTGTACAGTTACTAATGGATACATCCAGGACTATTCCTAGTTTAACTATAAATATGGTGAGCTTAACTATTTTGCTGCACAGTGATGTCGAAAGGTGAGAACATTTTTCTTGCTCTTTGATAGGTTTTGGAGGATTGTTTTCTATAGGATTGGTGCCACTTATGAGAGCACAAGATCCTCTCTGTTTTCTCCAGCACTGAGTACCATCATTTGCTGCTGTTATTTTATTTAAAATGGGTAAACTCTGCACCCTTTTTGTTTTCTTCTCTTTTTTTACCAGTAAACTAAAAATATCTTCAATCTAATTAAAGTACTTCTTTTGTGAAATTACTCTTTTCGCCTTTCTCTCATTTATCAGTCAGGATCTTAGTGTTATTCTTATCCACTGGTATGATCTCTTGTTTAAGAATTTAAGTCATCATTTATCCACAGCCTGCAGTCTTGTTTCTTTGATCTAGCATCTTTGAGAATTTCTTCCCTAGAGTTATAATCACCTTGTTTCGGCAGGAGGGGGGTTATCTTACTTACACTGACACACTGCATACGTATATTGATCAACTCTGTGTAAGTCCTGGCTAAAGGAATTCATTTGAATCTTCTTTGGGTCTGGAAAGCTTCTTTTAGCATATTTTAATCTTCCAAAGGACAAATCAAAATATCTTGTTAAAACAAAGACCAACAGTTTTTGATTATAATCCTGGAAGGGCTAAACTATTTTAAACTTGGATAATAACGATCTTGTTTTAGCTGCATGCAGTTACTTACAGGCTTCCAGGTGCTAAACACTGATGGGAATGCAGATATCCCCTGTGTTAAGTTAGCTCACATAACTTAGATTGGTTGCTATTTCTAGCACATTTTAGTTTCTATTTCTAAATTATCTCTGGAGATTGTAAGCATTTTCCACCTGTACTTCTCCGAGTATTTATTGATTAAGGAAAGAACACGTTCTTTATACCACCTGGTGCCACGGTGTTATTGTGACAGCGTCCTCAGAGTTTATCATTTGGAGGGTTATTATTCCACTTCAGATAGTCATAGAAAAGGAACTTCAGTTTTAAATTTCTTAATAGCATATTAACACACAGTGTGCTCTGATCATTAAATCCTTAGGAAATGTATTTTGTGGAAATGATTTTTTAAAAAATCATAGTGACCATTCTGTATTTATATGAATTGATCTGAATATAATTAGTTATTCAGTTACTATATATATTTAGTATGGTAATATATGGATCTAAAACAATGACTCAGAAAAAATAGAAGTGTTTGATTTTACATAATTTCAGATTTTTGGGGTAAACTTTGTTAAAACTATAAATTAGAATTCTAGTGATAGATAAGGTGATTTAAATTCTTCAGGACTAATATTTGTGGATTTGATGTTATGGTGAATTGCATGTGTGCGTGTATGTGCGCCTGTGTATGTACTAACCTGTGAGACAAAAACGTTATTATAATTTTTCACATTAAGAGGGCTGAATAAAATATTATTTTTAGACTTGTTAGTGTGTTTTTTGAGTCTTAGAACACTGACTCAGTATTAAACAGATCCTGTCAGGTCAAGGCCAGTCACAGTGCAGCTGTTGCCATCCTAAGCACAAGTCTACATGAGCTCATAAACTGTGCGCACTTCGCTAGAAGGATGTTTGTCCCTTATTGGGAGACGGCATCATCTTTTTATCACTAAAAATCAATTGGATACATTTGTCAACCATCAATTATTTATTTATTATTGATTGAGTTGGAACTGTGCTGTTTAAAATTAACATATTTATGCAAACTTTCCGTATTAATAACTATCAGTAAATTGAGATAACTGTGCCATTAGTTAACACTAATTACAGTAAAACACTGACTACTTACAAGTGTCATTTATTATGCTTAAACTGTGAGGGAAAAAAAAGTTCAAAGAATCATCCTCCTTTCAAGAAACTAATAGTCTGTGAAAATAGGAAGGCAAACTTTCTTTAAAGGTCCAGATAGTAAATGTTGTAGGCCTTGTAGACCCTACATTCTCTGTCACAACTACTCAACTCCGTAATAACAGCATTAAAGAAGCCATAAACAACAAGTAATGAGTGTGGCTGTGTTCCAGTAACACTCTATTTACAAAAGAATTGGTAGGCTAGAACTGGTCCATGGGCTTTAGTTTGCTGACCCCTAATCTGAGTGCTGTTACAAACAAAAACAGTAGGAAAGTTAACATATATAAGATATCAGTAATTGTTTAAGATGTTAATGAAAGAAATGTAATTATAAAGAAATATATCAAGATTTGCCAAGGTGTTTTACAGATGTTTTACCTAATCTTTAAATATTATCATATTTTTATTTACTGTAACTTTGACTTTCAATATCTTTACAGTGAAAATAATTATTTTGCATATTCTTTAAAATATATTATAATAAACAAACTGGAAGTAAATGTCATAGTAGCCATTTTAATTTACTAAGATTCTATTTTAGTGAGAGCCAAATTCTTAGACATTTAGTAGTACTAAAAATTAAAACATCATCAATGCTCCAAAGAAAATATACAGAACATTGCTCACCTCCTTTAAAAAGGATCCATTGGAGTTTGGTTTGGAAATACTTGTTTGCCTTTGTTAGCATTTCCAAATTTATTGGATGTTTATATTTTATTTTCTTCTCTTTATTTTCTATAAAACAGAGTAGATAAGTTTCATATAATTAAAGTTCAAAATAGACAGATTTTACAAAAGCCTGCACCTGCTGGTGTACAGTATCATTACTGAGCTCATTCTACAATTCTCTTGAAATCATTATAAATGCTGTTCATAAAATATACTGGAAAGTGAATGCATTGAAGCACTAAAAAATTCTGTTATATTCTGCTATCAGTTTATGTGGTTTCTAACGATAAAGTGTATTTGATTAAGCAATTTGCTTGGTATTTTCTGGATTTTTTTCTATGAACATGTGGAAAATTTAAAAAAATTTGAGTGTTGCGATATCCAGACAAGTGCATGTATTATATATAGTTTGGTTTTTTTATATGGCAATAGCTCTGCAAATATATATTTGGAGATGCATTTTTAAAATCCAAAAATATACATTTAAATTGGTAGCCTTCCATAAGTGATTGGAGAAGTCACATAAGCATAACATTTCAATAGGTTATTATAAATAATTCCACTGGTATAAGAAATCAATGGGTCAAATGAGTGAGGCATTCTTCTCCCTTCTAAATTTGTAGGCTCTGTGCAAAATATGTATTTAAAAGGCTATTTAGAATGTCTTCCTAATACAAGTTTTGTGGGAATTTTTGAGGAAAGATATATTTAAATGGGCTTTCATCTTTATTCATATGTCTATATTAATTGCATAATCAAATACATTGGCTCACTATATTTCCTACTGAATAAGCATTTTAAGTAAAATAGAAATAACTATTTAATACAGCTCTGTATTTCTTAAATCCTAGAATGCTTCTTAATTTGAAAGGCATTGTGGAATTAATTGTATGCATGTAGGGATTTTTGCTTTTGAAAAGCAAAGCAGACACGTGTCTAAAGTCATAGTGTCTTTATGCTATATTGAGGGAGTGGGATCTCTTCCTTATCTTGGGCTCTCTTGTTTGCTTTTCAGTTGCTGCGAATGTGGCTGTGGAAGGGCTTCTTCCCTGTGCGCTGTTGCCCATCCAAGCCTAATATGGTTAGTGTTCCCCTCCCACTGTCACTCCTATGTGATGTCCCACCCATATGTATTATTGTCAGCATTCCTTTTTTTTTTTTCCATTTGTGTACATTTTAACAGTTAGTACACCAGTTACACCTTAACAGAAAGAGTAGAATGAAACTGATTCCCAAGGGGGACTCCTAAGTGATTTCACATGGATAATTTCAAATAAAATATACATATAGTACATCATCCTTATGTCAAGCATTCATACATCTCTTCCAAGGCTTTTACTGTGGTCCTGATTTAAACCAGGAGGTTGCAAGATTGTAGCATCTGCTTTACATTTAACATGTCGCTGTTTTTGTTGTTCCATTAAGATTAAAATCATATCATACATGGAAGTAGAATGCTACTTCTGTCAAGGTGAAATCACCTTTTCTGTCTCCCAGAACCATGGAATGACCATAACATAACTAGGATCTTCTATTTTCATAATCATTCTGGATACATATGGCATTGGAGAACAGAACCACATGTACTTTTAAATGGTTTACTTCAAATTTTTAAGCTTGAATTATTTCAGATATTAGAAGTGCTATTCCTAATTTGATACCAGTGAAGTAAAAAATTTACACATTTTTAGGATCAATGTCCAAATAAGACAGTCTTAATTATTTACAAATGCAAATCCTAAATATATATCTGGGTTATAGCTATAAAACTGTAGTCTAGAACGTAAAACCAGATAACTTTATTCAAAGATTTACACAATACTGAGCTACCTTGTAAAAAGTGAAATACTTCAGATAATTTCTTTCTAGATTCGAGTCTAAATCCCTGCACTACTTTATTGAGTTGTTATTTGTAGTCAAAATTAGCCTGGAAAAGATTCTGATGCATTTTAGAGAATTATAGGGTTTCCTCGGGGCATTTTAAATTGTTACTTGTATTCTCTAGGTGTCAATTTTTGTCGATTCAAAAAACTGTGGTGTGAATGAGTGTGCATGCATGTGTAAATGTGAGAAGTGGTGGAATGGATACTAATGATCTTCTGAGAACAAAAGAGAGTTAACGAACACAGATTGATAAAATTCAGAGATCTTTTTCTCAATCTTTTGAAATTTTTGTATTTGAAAAAAGTTTTGAAGTTAATATGAAAGTACAGATTTTTTCCAAATTATTTAATTTATTCAGGAAATTCTTATATGAGCCTGGGGCTTCAGTGACTAACCAAAAAGCCCCTGAAATCTGGCGGTGGCTGAGCTATAACATAAATGGCTTTACACTGTGTTTTGTTTTTTCTTTACTACACTAGGAAAAACTAAAAAAATGATCGCTGAATTGCTCATTCTACTTGAGCCTCTAGTATAGTCATTATAAGAGATAAATCATCATTGAAGGAGAATAGGCAGAATTTACATCTTGGGAAAAAAAGAAGATTGACATTCAGGTTTCCTTTGAACTAAATCTCGAAGATACCTTAATGGGAGTATGAACATTTATGAAGCCATGGCTTAGGAAGTATTTGCGAAAACTAACTTTAGCCAGATTTAAAATACTTGATTTTTAAAATAGTTTCTTTTTCGACTGTGGAGTTGGCTTCAGGGAATTTATCAAATAAACAAATAAAAGAAAAGAAGAAAAGTGGGAAGGCAGCATGCTTCCTTTACAAAGAACACACCAGGAAATCTAAGATAACAAAAACTTTTTTCTAATATTTTCCTTCAAATAATGTTAGTAATTGTAGAGACAGTGAGTGTATTTGTGTGTGTGCATGTATATTTGTGTGTGTGTGCAAAAAAAAAAGAAATGATTTAGCCACAAACGTGCTTAGGTACCCAAAAAAATGCTAACATTTTAAGATTTATGGAAAGATTTATGGAAAAGCCAGAGTTTTTTAATGCATTCTGAGTAAAACAAAACAAAAGAAAGCAAAAGAAACACACTTTAATTGAGCTTACATAAATTAGACAGTAAAAAAGTTGTCCAAAATTATTACTGGGGAAGAATGGAAGCTAAAATGTTTTTATGGCTATGCTTTCTGAACTTCCATTTTATAATTTTAAGTCACTATGAAGTTGCAGTTAAAGATACTATTTGTTTAGATTAAAGCATTGGGAAGAAAACACCCTTAGATAGTGGAAATTAAGAGCTGAGAAGAATAATTTTCCTAATAGAGTCAGTAAATTACCGAGAAATCTTGACCTAAAGTCTTGCCACCTAATTTTTCATGTATAGTCATACCAGCATTTGTCAATTACCACATACTTTCCAAGGAACATTGTATTATCATCATTTGTGAACAGACATATTTACAATTATAAAGCAGAGTTTGTTAGACGTTTTGAGATTTTAGATCTCATTGTTTTTCATTTCTGGAAAGACCACTCATGAATATATGTCTGGTAGGTTTAGACCTTACTATAATACAATGCATTAAAATTATGTTAAAATTGACCACTGTAAATATACTGGCTCTTAGAAGTACCTTGATATACCTTGTGGAAATCTCAGGGTCTGAAAAGCATAATTTCAAAACCATTGACCTAGATCTTTGGTTCTGTAATTCAGCTATATTAAAGCTTCTTCTGCAAGGCTCTGGATTTCTGAGTTTTACTGTGTCATATTTCCCACCTGGAAACCATGCTCCATTATTTTTCAAATGCATAGTGTTCCATTTATAAGATGAAATTGGTAATTACATGTCGCCACCTTTGATCTCAAATTATTTTTCATCACTCTAGTTGCCCACTTTGTTGTGAAATCTGTACACATATATGTAATGCTAATGTTTCAAATATTCTTCCTGCTTTCACTGAAATCTACTTAGTAATGGAAGATATATTTGTAATATTTCTGAATGAAACCCAAATGCCTAAATTTTAGGCACCCTATCCCCAAAACTCCCCACACTTTTAGCAGAGGTATTTTTTATCAGTGATCTTTGACTTTATGTCATCACAACTGGCTTGAGACTCTAATCATTGTTTTGCTTCTCAAAAAAAAAAAAAAACCGAAAAAATCTATGTTTACAAATATCCAGTGTTGAATTGATTGTTTTTAATGTAAATGAGATATTGATGTTTGTAATTTCTGAAATGTTATCATTTATCCCTTGATATTCATTTGTGTTTATGCTTGCAAAAGTTAATATATATTTATAGCATAATATTTATTATAAGTCTGTCTGAAATATCCCATAGTCTCAAAGTAGCTTTTTCTTGCATTTCTTAAATTCAAACATATGTCAGGCTGTTTTCTTCATTCATGAGTTTTCATCTTTCTAGTGTTTTCATATCAGTTACTACTACTTCTGAAGGATTCAAATGGCAAAGGAAATGGAGTTCACTATTCTGAAAATAGAGATATTAAATTCTTATTTTGTTCGTTTATCTATTCTGTAACTTTTAGGAAATCAACTTCATTTTTTATGAGAAAAAATTTTAAATATTTTTAATCAGAGACACAAGGGATAAATTTTAGCTTCTCTCATAGTGCAGAGATAAAAACAAATTTCTCCAACCAAAAGGATCATGAATTACATTGAAACATTAACTGTTTTTTTTTTTTTTTTGGAGGAAGATCAGCCCTGAGCTAACATCCATGCCAATCCTCCTCTTTTTTTGCTGAGGAAGACTGGCCCTGAGCTAACATCTATTGTCAATCCTCCTCCTTTTTTTTTTTCCCCTCTTTTTCTCCCCAAAGCCCCAGTAGATAGTTGTATATCATAGTTGCACACCCTTCTAGTTGCTGTTTGTGGGACGCGGCCTCAGCATGTCTAGACAGGCGGTACGTTGGTGCGTGCCCAGGATCCAAACCCAGGCTGCCAGTAGCCGAGCACGCACCCGTAACTGCTAAGCCATGCGGCTGGCCCCTGAAACATTAACTGTTATCTTAACTTTTCAATGAACTATTTTTTTCTCTATATTAACTGAAAGTTTCTTGAAATTTGAAGGGAGCAAATTTTTATTTTCCATACGCTTAATAGATTATTTCATTCATCTTCACGAGATTTCTGCTGGGGAGGTATGTGGAAGTACTGAAAGTACTATTCCATTTTACAGAGTTAGGAAAGAGACATGGAGAATAAAGTCATCCCTTTGTAATAATTCTAGACTCCCATTTAAAGTGCTCGTGGCAGGCAGATATGAGGCTTGCCTGCAATATATATAGAATATATTAAATTCCAATTAAAGGCTTGCTATGTAAAATATATATATGAACTGCTCCAAAATCCCTTTTTATAATACCTGTGGAAACTCAGACTATAGAGATATTAAGTTGACCTACTTTAATTTAGAAATCCAATGGTCACATCCATGAAATAGTTTAAAAATTAATAAGAAATTATCTACTCTAGCATTAGAACAAATTTTGTTGAAAATGCAGAGACTTAATCCTCACGTCTTACTTTATGAAATGTGTTTTTATATCAAAATTCTAAGCCAATTAAAATTAACTCAATATTGAAAATTCTATAATTCATCTTTGAGTTTTTTGGGGTATTAGAAATTGTTCAACTCCTATTATTGCTAATTCTAAAAATATTTGAAGAGTTCATGAATGAAAAATTTACAAAATCATACATACTACACTATTCTGGAAGGTGTTATTTCTAAGGCTTTTTTTTCTTTGTCCTTTAGAATATGGAGACAAAAAATGATATGTAAAGCATAAAACAAGAAATAAGTTAGCTTCTCACATTGCTATTGATCATAGGGTATTTAGTATCCTTGATAGAATGTGAGATGGGAACCTAGCAAGCTGTGCCCTCATTTTCTGTGGTAGAGTCATCATTCCATTGCCACATCCAAGGAAATTATGTTTTTCAACAAGAGTGCATTTCCCTTGAGAAGTATATTTGAGAATTTTCAGTAAACAATAATAGATCAGTTGCATTTTTTGTGGAAGTTGCATCTATCTATAAGGAACTCAAAATCCCAGTACCCTAGTAAGCAAATGAGAAATATATGAATGAGAATCTTAAGGCAAGACAGCCTAAATATCCAATGTCCCATTTTACTGCATTTTCATTCACATTCTTATTGAGGAATGTCGTCCTGTAAAACAAAACAATCTATTTCCATTATTTACTAGATATATTAATAAGCTAATGTTCATGGGCTTCTTTATTTTATGAGGCTGAGTTAGCTAAGCTTTCATTAAACTGCCTTGCTTCAGTTGAAGAGAATCCTGAAGTGAAAAAGTCAAACTATTTCCCAAAAAGTTGTAACTTATTCTTAAGATTGCAGCAATAAAATCTTAAATACAACATTATACAGTGATTGAAGTCATTGTTATGTCAGAACAATAGAGAGTGCATTTATGGAGAATGGGGTTTTTGGAGAGGCTAAAGTTACAAGCAGCTTTTATTTTCCATAAGCAAAACATATCGACTCTAATGTTTGCTGCAATTTGTCAACTTTTAAATACTTTTGCTTTAAGGGATAGCTAAAGCATTTCTTAATCAATCTGTAAAAAAGAGGAACAATATAGGAGTGTCCATTCCTGAGCTAGGAACTGCATATGCTCACTCTTTTTTTTTTTTTTTTTTGAGGAAGATTGGCCCTGCACTAACATCTGTTACCGATCCTCCTCTTTTTTCCTTTTTCCTCCCCAAAGCCCCAGAACATAGCTGTGTAGCATAGTTGTAGAGTTGTAGCTCTTCCGTGTGGAATGCCTCCTCAGCATGGCTTGATGAGTTTTGAGTAGGTCCGTTATGTAGATTTGAGTAGGATCTGAACTGGGGAACCCCAGGCCAAACCAAATCCACGAACTTAACTGCTACGCCACCGGGCCAGCCCTCCTCTCGCTCTTTTAGAGAAACCAAAATCTAAACCACTCCATCTCCCATCATTGCATCCCCTCCACCTTATTTAGAATTAAGGTGAAAAAGTATGTATTTCTGCAGGCTAAAGCAACGGAAAAATATGATTCTGTGAAGACTATTGTTGAGCAAGCGTCTACACTCTCCTTTGGCTATTCCATTCACTCATCTTTCCTCTTTGGCCATAAGGGTGCCATTTAGTAACTTACTGATTCTGTGCATCACTTGGTACTCTGAAGGGCTTGACATTCATACCTCTAATTTATTATCAAATCCTTAATTTACATCCAAAAACTAAATTACTCATTGGCACATTTATCTGTACATAAAGATTATTGTTTACCATTTCAAGTATTATGGAAATTTCAAATATCCAAATTTAGATGTTATGGCTGGGGCCAAGTTTTTAAGATCAGCATTAATATCATCAAGGATGTGTTACTCAAATTCTTAGGATATATGTGGGAGAAAATATATTGATTTCTAAATTACCCATAAAGTCATTGCTATATTTACATATTAAGCATCTCTCTATGGCTTTTTAATAAATATTAATGAATAAGAATTATACCTACATTTAATGTGATTTCTCATGTCTGCCTTTACTTAAAAAGTAAAACAACATTGTTTTCTAGAAGAAAATGACTATAAATGACTAGAAGATGATTCCTCTAATTACAAACACTACAGATATTTTTAGTACAATGATATCAAAGCTCATTAAAATTGTGATATGAAGCAAAATGAAGAAACTTTTCTTATTCATTCAGAAAAAAAAAAAAATCAGTTCCAGAATGTAGGAGGCGTGATTTACGTACAGAATGACATATTTATTGACTATCTGATGGGTTAAAATTATGCATCTGGAGCAGGTACAGAAGATGGTACAGAATGAACAGGCTTCCTGCAATGCTTTGTTAGTGAGGCTGAACCACTGCTTGAGTGCCAGTCTCTGCCAGCTGCACTTTTACTTGCTGTATCTTGTTGAGGCTTGTTTTAATGATGCTTTGGAGGGTTCCAGAACTTAATTTTATATGTTAATGTGGCAGGCAGCCGTATATGTTATAGAGCCCCAGAGATGCCCATAGTCAAAAATAAGTCCTTTCTATTGCCCTCCTGACTCTCACCCTAGGTATTAAAATGTTAACCACTCCTAACCAAGGTATTCCCAAATCATTTTTTAAATGAGATCCAAAGTTTTATTTCCATTTTCATATAAGGAATTTGCATGCAACTAAAAAATCCATGAGGCTTATTTAATGATAAAGACTATTTGAGGATACAAATTTGGAAGCTTAATTTTTTTTTTTGAAGGTGGGAGAGTTGAAGGTGGAATGGATGTTTGTTTTCTAATGTAAACTGCAAGAACTTGTATGCTTTTTACGTCTCTTTAGAATTCCTCTAACAAAGTTTTTTATCAGTGTTATTTAAATAACATAAATCTCAGGATGACTTTACACAATTGTATTTAAACATTGGTAAAAAAAAAGTATCAGTAACTTCTCTCTAGAGTCACATACGTTAAAGATTGAATAAATAATGTAATATCTAGAAAAATTATAAGCAATGTCTTAAAATAATTTAAATGTCAGCTTGAATAGACCAAATATAATTTCAGTATGATTTTATGTATTTGTTTTTTCTCTATTTTGCTGTGGTGAGGTTATTCAAGATGTCTTTAAGGGCTCTTGAATGACAAATGCATCTAAGTGTTATGAATAAATTTTCAAAAGTCACCAGATCGTTATTATGTATTTTTCCTCACCCAAGAACACTGCATGTATTAAGTATATTACTTCAAATTTACTCAAATTTTACTATCTGTACTTTACTATTAAATTGCCAGTTTTTAACATGATAAAATGAAAATAATTGTATTTTTCAAAAATGGCATAAGGATGGGTTATCTATTTTGATAATATATATGTAATATACACTAGAAAATGATATAGAATAAAACAAGTTTCCTTTTTATATCAAAATATTCACATATTTAGTAAGCATCCTAGAATATATAATCAAGGAACAGGCCTCATTGGTACATGTCAACTGGACACTTCATTTACATCACGTAGTAGTTTTCAACCAACTTTGTGATGAAAATATTTTGTCAATCTACCATTTTGGCTGTATTTTCTTTATGCAGAAATAAATGAAAATTGTGTTTTTAATAAACTCAATTTTGTTATGAGAGTTTATGGATAGTAAATTCACTCCCTTGGAGTTTCACTAAAATAATTCAAATATTTTTATTTTAGTCAGTTGTTTTAATGTTATGTGGTTAATCATGTACCACATCAACTTAATATTCATCAGTGTATTCCCTCTCCAAACACTTGTCATTGTGTAGACACAGTCAAAATATCATTCACTCATTCATTTATTCATTCATCCATGTGACAAATATTTTTGGTGCCAACTCTGAGCCAGGAGCTAGAACACTGCAGAAATTTATATATGAATACTAGTCACTGCCGTGCAAGAAACTGACAAGTAGTAAGAGAGCCAAAAAGCATACTCAAATGACTATGTTGCATTGTAGAATGGGAATCACACCAGGCGAGGGGTACAGAAGGAGAGGTTCAGAGGAGGAAAGATTGCATTAAGTTGGGGTATCAGGAAAAACACATGAAGAAGGCAAAAGAATGAACTGAATTTTGATAATTGGAAATTGTTAGGAAGAACATCCTAGCTGCAGGAACAGATACATGCAAATGTGTGGAAGCATGGAGAAATATCTTGGAGACTAAGGATAAATTTTAGTACACTTGAAGGTAACAGTTGGGGATGACATGGGAAATGTGAATTTGGACTATATTTAGGAATCTTTACTTTCTTATTTTATGGGATACTGCAGGAGACAGCTAACACAATAGGAAAGTAACTTTTTACAATAGTTTGACTATAGCCATATCTAGTAGAGTTTAGGAAAGCAGTTTTAGAGTGCAGGGGCATCCGTTCAGAGGCACTTGTAGTAATCCAAATGAAAAATAACAAAGCTTTAATTGAAGAAGTGGCAGAGCTAATGAAAAGGAAGAAGTGGATTGTAAGATTTCTATGTTATATAATGCTTGGGATTTGGCAACGAATTTGTTGTGAAGTACACAAGAATAAGGCTTTGACTTTAAGGGACCAAGGCCATGGCAGTGTTACTAACAGGAAAAGAAGGCAGCAGATCAAGATTGAAAGGAGAGAGAAATATACGGATTTCTTTTTCAGATCTCTTGATTTTGAATGAAAGTGGAATATCCCTATAAAATAAATCTATGAGGAATAAGGGTATAACTGTCAAAAGAAGTAAACCAGAGGGATAGAGGTATTAATTAAATTGATGGAAACAGATGGATTGACAGGAGAGAACCAGAGAAGTTCACGCAGAGGCCCTGTGGAAATGTCCATGTAAATGAAGAGAGGGGCAAGAAGCATCAGAAAAGGGATAGTTAGGGATTTCAGTCCATTATGAATGAATAAAAATTTAAAAAATGTCATTGGGTTTAGAAGTGAATATGTTGTTAGTGAACCTCCCAAGGACAGATTTTTGTAAGTAGTCAGAGCAAGTCAGAAGGACTTGCAAATTAGTACGTGGTTGAGAAAAACAGGAGAGACTAACGTTTGGAGAGTGAAGCTGAGAGGGATTGCAGGTTGTGGTGAACTTGACAGTGATTTGAGTGGATGTGAGTGGGAAAGAGCCAGTGGAACAACTAAAGACTCCAAAACAAATGAAAAAAATAAAACTGATAGAGTAAGGTGCTGAAAGGAGACTATGGGATCAGAGACATATTTTGGGCAGTTCATCCTGAAAAGAGGCAGTGGCCTCTGAACTGGCAAAAAAAATAAAAGAGGAGGGGGACAGAAAAATATCTGGTATATGGTACATGATGAAGAGAAGTTTAAAAATAAATTTGGATGGCTTCTGACTTCTCAGCGAAATCTGGGCAAGAGTGAGGGATGTTGGCTGAAGAAATATAATTCATCCAGAAGGAGTATTGGTGATATTTTATACTACTCGTGTGAAAATCAGTTAGGGTGGCAATCATTTCAATTGTGTTTCATGCTTCTGGGCTGGATATGCTTCACCACTTGGAGATGTGGCTAATTGTAGCTTATTCTGTTCCAGGCGGTGTGGTTACAGCAAAGCAAAACAAGATCCAGAAGAGGAAAAGATGCATTTTCATAATGGGCACAGTAAGCAAATTGTAAAAAATCAGAAGAAAACAAAGTAGAGGAAACTTTATTGTTTTTTGGTTTCTTTTCAGGCTAAGAGATCTGTAATAACTGACCAAAAATATTGTGTTAAAAAATGAAAGTGTTCTGTTCCATTTCTGTAGAGCATACGGGCTTGGGGCATTGCTGGCTGACTCTAGGCAACAGCCGGATGGTTTATTCAATTCTTTAAAGCATACTTTCATTTTCATCATTAAAATAAAAACTTTTTGCTTAATATAAAAAGCTATTATATTTGAAACCAAATTTCCAGGCCTATTCTAATTTGTAGCAACACAGTCAGCAGAAATCTATCATTAAATAATACCTCCAGATTAAATGAATAAAATTTCTCAGTATTTTCTCTTCTTTCTCTAGCATTATGGCAGGAATTTCCCTGAGCACATCCTGTAGCAGCAACCTTGGTTCAAAAGACTTGAAAAAGACTAAACTTTAAGAAATGCAGAAAATCCAGTTTTAATAACGAGGTTTAAAAATTAGCATAAATCAGTTCTAATTAATGACACTTTAATATGCTCCTTTTTTCATAAATAGTACACTGTGAGTTGATTTGCCAAGTAAATGACAAAAAGAGTTTCTTTTGTTTTTGTCACTGCCATGACCCTAAAAGTCAAAATCATTAAAGCCATAATTCATTCCACAAAGTGTTGAGTCCATTCTCATTGTCCTATCTTATTCAATGTTGTTTATCCTCAAAAAACACTGTGAGTGTGATATTGGTAGCCTTTAAATGTGATGACACTGAGCCTGATAGAATGTCGGAGCCTTGTAAACAACATGCAATAACAGAGGCAGAGTAAGAAGTAGAGCTTCTCTTTTTTCTTTTTGACTTCTATGTCTGTCTTATTGGATCAAAGCTCCAGAGAAGTTATTTTAAATTATTTTTTGCAAGACCAAAATTAATCAGCTGTGATGATATTTTAAGTGAAACATAGAATAACAAACCAACAAATAAAGCACTAGCATTTTATTGTCCAGTTTAGTAAACAAAATTGTCTTAGTTTGCCTCAGAGACTGACTTTGTGAACCTTATTGTTGAAAGATGTATTTACTCAAATATTTCATCACATATACATTTCTTGTACATACCAGTAATCCAGATTTCTAAAATTATAAAAGTGAGATAGCTGTACAAATGACTCCTGTAACTAAGGAGTGGATCTGTCCTTGCAGCTCGGCCATTATAGGAATTAGGGATTGAAGCCATAGTTGCCTGTTAACATATACAAGTTTACTCATCCATCACAAGCACTTCTATTTTAATGCCCATTTATTTTTACAGTTAAATTGCCAGGAGTAAGAACTTATATTGATCCCCATACCTATGAGGATCCTAATCAAGCTGTCCATGAATTTGCCAAGGAGATAGAAGCTTCGTGCATCACCATTGAAAGAGTTATTGGAGCAGGTATATGACAGTGTTTAACTCAGACTTTTAACTTGTGTTTATATTGTAGAATGTAATATGTCAATGTCCTAATCCAATGCAGAATGTTTTAATCTTTTGTAATTGACTTGCTTTCAAAGTGGTATATAATTGATCATATTTCAATGCTACCTTCTGTGTAGCTCATACTTAAACCAGAAAAGGTCAAGTTTATGAAATAAAAAAATAAACCAGCAAATATATGTATATTCAAACATAGTATTTCACCATCTACTGTATCTTATACTCCATCTACATTACGTTCCACATATTATACATATATAATTTGTAATACCCAAAAGTATTTACATAATCCAAGCACTCAATTATTCTATTTATGAATCATCTCTGTCTTAAAATTAATTCCTTTTTGCCTTGCTAGAGTCTTTTCTCCTTTTCTCTTCTCATTGATGGCACTACTAGTGTAGAAAGAGAAGGAAGAAGGAAGTCATTTTCATTCAGTTGCTTTTAATTTTTTTCTAATGTTTCCATTGAGGTTTTTTTTAGGTGAGATAGAGGAAGCTAAAAACCCCCCAGATTGTTTTATGATCACCTGTAGATGATCTTTCCCAATGCACCATTTCTTTCCATGAACATTGATAACAAAGATTGGACTCCCCCCCCCCTTTTTTTTTTGTTTGTCTCTTTTTTGTGAGGAAGATCAGCCCTGAGCTAACATCCATGCTAATCCTCCTCTTTTTGCTGAGGAAAACCGGCTCTGAGCTAACATCTATTGCCAATCCTCCTCCTTTTTTTTTTCCCCAAAGCCCCAGTAGATACTTGTATGTCATAGTTGCACATCTTTCTAGTTGCTGTATGTGGGACGTGGCCTCAGCATGGCCGGAGAAACAGTGCATCCATGCGTGCCTGGGATCAGAACCCAGGCCACCAGTAGCAGAGCGTGCGCACTTAACCACTAGGCCACAGGGCCGGCCCTGGACTCCCCTTTTAACTCTACTTTGCCTACGTCTTAATACTCAAAGAATGTTTTAGAGTATTATTAGAGTAAGGATTTCAAATGAGTTTGTGTGTTTTCTCCATCTTTATCACAAGGTGAATTTGGTGAAGTTTGTAGCGGACGTTTGAAACTTCCAGGAAAAAGAGAATTACCTGTGGCTATCAAAACTCTGAAAGTCGGCTATACTGAAAAGCAGCGCAGAGATTTCCTGGGCGAAGCAAGTATCATGGGACAGTTTGATCATCCTAACATCATTCACTTGGAAGGTGTTGTGACCAAAAGTAAGTACAATGGCAAATTATGCGTGTGTGTTTGTGTATCATGAATAACCGGATTTTTTCTATTAGGTTATTATTAATTTCAGGATAGCGGGAAAATTAGCCATAGTAATGTTATTAACAATTTCTCTCATGTTAATATTAATTGTCCTGTATTTTAGTAGGTTCTTGTCAAGCTGATCTTTAATGAATCTGAATTTCTATTTTTTTTTTCAAAACATATATATTAACTCAGTTACTATGAATTCTGTGCCACAGAAAATGTATCCAGATAAAAGAAGCAGTAAAGGTATCAAAATTTTTTTTGTCCTGACTCTTTCACTTTTTATCCTAATGAAATATTAACTTCAACGTTTTGATTGAGGTATTGAAGTTTAAGGTTTAATAGATAACCATAGGTGCCCTGCCACCTTTTAAGCAGTTCTTTATAGCCAAACCTGTTTCTTTTATTCAAAAGACTGGAAAAGTTTCTTGAGACTAATTATCTTGTGAAAGCAAATCTAGTTTTTACTCAGAAATATCTAGAATTTCACATTTTTAAATTTTTATTGGTGTATTATAAATGTGGTTATGTGGTGAGCTTCTCAATATAAGGATATCAAATCACTTTTCAGTCATCCAAGAAAATATTTATGTGACACCTAACTGAGGCCTTTATTTTCTTTTAATCTATTCTTTATTTGCTATTTCTATGTATTCTCATTCCTTCCCTTATCCCTCATACACTACATACCACTTTCTAAAATCCTTCTAAAAACCTTGGCAAGAAACAATGTCTAGACTTTTTTTCAAGCATTTGTTCAACATGCAGTTACTGTTAATCAAGTTTCAAATTTTATATGCCAAATATACATACCAGCAGTGTGTACTCAATAAGTGTTCTCAACCTACTAAGTAATTTCAATTGATTGTATATCTATTTATACCATATAGCTTTTAGATATGGAAAACAAAACAACAGAAACAATAAAAACACAACTTTTTCACAATAAAGAGGGACAAAAGAAACAAATCAAAATACTTACCTGATATATAACAAATTAATTCTCAACTCATGATTCATTTACAATCAGTTACAGATGAGAATGTAGAAGCCCCTCATAAGTTCTAGAAACAGACTATAGCAAAAGTATCATGTTGAACTGGGTGAACTTTTAAATCAACCTGTATTGCTGGGAGATTGTTTTTCTTCGTATCTCAAAGAAATACACATCTCCAGTAAGAATGCACATAGAGGAATGTAACATGGGAATAAAAAAACTTGCAGACTTATGGGTTTCTTCAAAACTTAGATATGTTTCTTCCTCCAGTTGGGTACATGCCCATACATTATTTCCCTCTTGAAGGCTACCCAAAGAGGGTATGGCTGGAGCAAGAAGGGCATTCTGAGGTCTTATCAGAACAAATAAGTTCCTGAAGAAAGTTGGGAGGCAGACGACAGAGACAGGTGAGAGACAAGGGAAAATATATTTTTTGAAAGGAATAAAAGAAATTAAAATATTTTATAAAAATTATACCCTATGACAAACAGGCAGGAATATTTGAAATATGAATATAATGTGAAGAAGATAGTCACCAGTACAATAAAGTGAAGTCAGAATTTGAATGTGACTATTTTCTATCTGAGAGGAAGGACCCTGAATGGACATCAATGATAGCATGTGGTGTTAGATACTGTAGGAACAAGAATTATAATAACAACGATTGAGTAAAATTATTTCCTATGCAGGAATGGTATTATCTAATATAGAACATATTTGTTGTTTGTTTTTCTGGTAAGGAAGATCAGCCCTGAGGTAACATCAGTTGCCAATCTTCCTTTTTGCTTGAGGAAGATTGTCCCTGAGCTAACATCTGTGCCAGTCTTCCTCTATTCTATATGTGGGATGCTGCCACAGCATGGCTTGATGAGCGGTGTGTAGGTTTGCATCCGGGATCCAAACCAGTGAACCCCGGGCCACCAAAGCACAGTGTTCAAATTTAACCCCTACGCTTCTGGGCCAGCCCTAAAACATAGTTTTTAATGATAGTCATAGTAATAATAATATGCAAGTATTTTTTATAAATTTCATGTCTTCATCTCATCCTTAATATGGTTGCCAAATTTAACTTCCTCAAATAAACTCTGACCATGACTTCCTATTAACCATGGTAAATCTAAAGCTCCATGGGTAGCCAATCTATGTAATGAGTTAAGATGTGATGTTTAGAACAATGTCCGATCATTGTTATTATCTTGGAAGATAGCATTGCATAATGGTCAAAAACATGGACTATGGATTTAGCCACCTGATATTAATTTCGGTTCTGCCATAAACTACTATGTGGCTTTGCGCAAGTTAGTTAAACATTCAGAACCTTAGCTTCCTCATCAATGACATGGAGTAAGAATACCCCATAATGATTTTGTGAAGATGACATAAATTAATACAGGCAAAGTTTAGAGTGGGCATGGCACAGAGTAGGTACTTAATAAATACATGCTTATTGCTTTTCCAATTATCTTTCTTCCTGTGCACTGAACTCCTCCATATCAATTTCATTCTTAGTCCATTTTAATGTACTTGATATTTTGCCTTGCCTACATTGCCTCTTTCTCTGAAACTTACATCCTCATATTCACTACCTTTTCAATTCCTTCAAAATTCTATTCAACTTCCATCACCTCCACGAAATATCTCTCATCACTTCACTCTGAAGTCATCAGTCCTTCCTTTGAACACTGTTCCTATGTAAGGACTTTTGCCACTGTCTGTAATGTTCCTTCATTTGCCCAAAACTCTTATTCAAATCTTCCATTTAATTTTGTCTCTTCTGCATATATTTCTTAGCTTCCTAGCTAAAAAAAACAGAGTCTGCTCATTGAAAACACACAGAGTGTCCTAAATACTTATGTAAACCTATTACACCTAAACCTAAACCAATCCATGGTCACCTTAGTTAAACACTTTGAGGCTCAATGTCACCCAAAAAGGGAGAAATCATACCTAGATTGTTATGCAGATTAAATTAAGATATATTTGTGTGTGTGTGTGAACAAAATTGCAGGTAATTTTAGTGAATAACTATTTAGCTTAATCTGTTTATGTGAATGCATCAGATGCTATTAGACAACACCCAAAAATTATTGGGACTAATATTTAGCTACTTCTATATACCCCTGATTTATTACAGAACTTGCTTTATGTGAATGGGTCCTGACTGAGACAAACTAAGGCAGCTAAACTTCTCACACTAAGACAACTAAATTTTTCATACATTTTATATGCACTTGAAACCTTTATTTTTAGAAGCAAGTGTCATTATCAACAAATGATCATGTCTAAATTCTAGTTTATGAAACAGTACTGTGGTTGGGAATACAGATTTTAAATTTCCAATCTCCTAATCAAATATTCTATTTGATGTTGCTGCCATGAAGTTACACACATAAGTAAAGTAAAATATAAATATTGAAAATATTTCCTTGTCTTATTTTTTGTTCTATTTGAATTGACACTGTATTTTTCTTTAATAAATGTAGCTCTTGATCTTCAACTTAGAAAGTTTTCAACTTGTTTTTAATTTACCATGTTGCAACTCACTTTATTTGTGTCCTTAATTTCATGCTTTCTGATCTGATGCTAATTTATTCAGCAATTATTCTCAACCTGCAGCACACAGATAATGAGACATAAGTGCAACTAAATCTTGTGATTTTTCTGATTGAAGCTGAGATGGGGAGTCTGAAGTAGCACTCTAATGGGTGGTGCCATCATGAACCTTCGTCTTACCTGTGTCACTGCCCTGTGTGCCATAAACCTGGGTCTTCATTTAAATTCCTTCCGTGATTTGTTGTTAAACAGGACACATCATAAATAGATGTATATTCTAGAGAGGCTTCATAACAAATGATGTAAAAAACCCACAGGTCCTGGCTTAACTGACTCATTCGCAATGCAAGATGCTTTAGTGTAATATACACAGTGCCAGCTTTTACTATTTAGAGAGATTCAGGAATAAAATAAAAAGGGAAAAAATTATCGTTTTCCCATTGCAGCATCCTTAGTTCTTTAAGGTTTATTTTTTCCAACCCATGGAAATTATTATCAAAATTGACTAAAGGAATATTTCACTGAGTGTTAGAAATATTCATGTTATATTGCTTAATCTAGGATCATGTACAAATAAACTTAGTTCTTCTGTGAAATTAATAAATTTAAACAAAATATTAGAGGAACATAAGCTGAATTTCTCCCTATTTCTTTTTCTTTCTATGTCCCAGGAGACAGCACAATCAATGGCAATTGATTATTTAAATTGTCAGACAATTCTGACTTATTATATATATTTGTAATTATCTTTTTGCTGAGGAAGATTTGCCCTGGGCTAACATCACTGCCCATCTTCCTCTATTTTATATAGAACACCACCACAGCATGGCTTGACAAGCGATGTGTCGGTCTGTGCCAGGGATCCAGACCTGCGAACCCTGGGCCGCAAAGCGGAGCACGTGCACTTAGCTACTATGCCACTGGGCAGCTCCTAAACATTGTGTTTTTAAAGTTATTTTTATTATTAATAAAACAAAGCTGTCAGATTTGTTAATTCGTAGATTTCCCACCTTCTCTGAAAAATCTATAATTTCTGACCCCTAAGTAATTATCCACCTTCACTAATGTCAGAACAATTCCAATTCATTTTTAATTTGAGAAATGAGCATCTAATGAAAAAGTTTGTATTAATGTAAATAATCTGAAATAAAAGAGGATATTATGGAAAGTTTGGAATTTCTACTTATAGAGACATTCGGCATTTTCATGCTCTTGTCTCAGGTAAGGTATAAAGACTTTTGATCTTATCGTTTTTCCCAAAATTAAAATTATATAATTTTTGTGTGTGTGTGTATGAGGAAGATCAGCTCTGACCTAACATCCATGCCAATCCTCCTCTTTTTTTTGCTGAGGAAGACTGGCCCTGGGCTAACATCTGTGCCCATCTTCCTCTACTTTATATGGGAGGCC